CCTTGATATCTCCATTGGTCTTCTGGTTCTTCATCACTTATTGTTTTTCATTACTTTTTACATTTTGCATTATGGGTTCTAACAGGTGACATGAATAGATTCCTCTATCATTTGTGGAATACTCTGAAGGCTTTGGATACAGAAGAATATCCAAGAAAGATTCGTTCATCAGCTTTGGGATCGAACTTTCCAAGTTGGTCGCGATTGTTGAGAATGTAGCAAGTACAACCATAAAATATGATGAAAACTTATAGAAGGTTTTCTTCCATGAAAAATTTCGTAAGCCGTCTTCTTGAATCTTTTCACAATCAGCGATCGGTTTTGAGTGAAACAAGTAGTGTTGACAGCTTCAGCCCAAAATTGAGTACGGAGATGGGATTCGCTGAGCGTTGATCGAGCAGCCTCGATGATTGTTTGATTTCGTCTTTCAACAACCCCATTCTGCTGAGGAGAAGTTATGAGAGATTCCCTTGTCCTCAAATAAGTTATTCATAATACTGTTTTTGAATTCAATGCCATGGTCTCTTCTAATAGATCGTACTTTAACATTGTTGAGTACTTCTATTTTCTTGATGAATGAAATGATTTCTTCAGGTGCTTCACCTTTGGATCTGAGAAAGAAGACCCAAGTGTACCTGGCATACTCATCAACAATGACGAGTGTGAACTTCTATCCAGCTAAGGATTGCATGTTGACTGGACCAAAGATATCCATATGCAATAGGTGAAGAGGTGCAGTCACTGAAAAGATTTGCCTAGACTTGAAGCTAGCTCTTGTGTGTTTTCATTTTCCACATGTTGAGCAAAGAGATTCCTTTGCAAAAGAGTGTTGAAGAAGACCAGTGACAAGATCATTTCTTGACAGCTCACTGAGTGTCTTGAAGTTGAGATGAGAAAGACGTTTGTGCCATAGCCAGTTAATATCTGACGAGGCTTTAGAGAAGAAACAACTATTCTCAGTGAGAGAGGAATTCATATTGATGATATATACATTCTCTAGACGTGAACCGGTTAAGGCAACCTTATCATCTTAGTCAAGAATGTGACATGAATTCTTTGAGAGTTTAACTGTATAATCTTTATCACATAGTTGACTGATGCTAAGAAGATTATGCTTCAGTCCTTCAACATATGCAACGTGTTTGAAAGTTGTTGTACCATTGGTTAATATACCAAAACCTCGGGTATATCCTTTTCCGTTACCACCAAAGGTTACAGAAGGTCCTCTTTCTTCCTTTGAAATGAGTTAACAGGGATTTATCTCCAGTCATATGTTTTGAACATCCGCCATCAAGATACCATATACCTTTGACGTCCTGCACAAGGAAACAAATTAATAATGCTATTGGTACCCAACTATTGGGGTCCAGCTTTGTTAGAGGCTTCATCCACTGGAACTGAAGAATCAGTATCAGTAGATGACATCACTAAACATGAAGAGGTTTGAGTGGAGAGAGGAACAACCTCTGACACTACTAAAGTAGTTTCAATGGAAGTCTTTACTGAGCCTAACAAAGAGGCTTCACTGGTAGGAACTACAACTTCTGATGTTGAAGATTTTTCAGCAGGAGTTGTCTTCGCTGAGTCTGAAGAAGGGGCTTCAGCGGTTTTCATCACCTTGGTTGCTTTTGCAGCCTTTGTGGATGATTTCACCTTGGTTGATTTCTCAGCCTTGGCTAGTTTCTTGCCCTTAGTTGGTGAACCAGCCTTGGTGGCAGAAGGACACTTGTTGGCAATATGTGTTTTCTCACCACAATGTTTACACTTCCTAACACTTGGGGTAGCTTTAGGGCCAGGAAGTATCAGATTTGAAATGGGACCAGCTCCAAGGATTCTCTTCTCATTGGTTTTAGGAGGAACCTTTGAGGAATTGGATTCCTTAGGTTAAAAGTTCACCTTGAGCTAAGAATTGGATTTCTGAGAGGGTTCAGATTTGCTAGTCCCTGAAGAAGAAGAAGAAGCTTTACAAGCTGAAGAAATAGACCTTGATCTACTAGACTTGTTAGACTTCTTAGGAAGGGGTGCTGTGACAATGAATTACCTTTGTCTTTGCAACTAGAACTCGGAGGAGTTTCTTCAAGATGACTCTCAAAAAGAGAAGACAGAGAGGAAGAAGTGTTGGG